ACTTCACCATATGCCTTATCTAATGATAGAAAATGAGATACAAGTATAACTGCACTATAACTTATAAGTTATAAAGCTAAGTGAAATCTGTTAGCAACTTGCGGGGAAAAATAAAGAGAAATTAAAGAAACATATGAAATATGAAGAACTTTAACCATGTGCTTCATCCACCAAGTGCTTGAAATCCTCAGGGGTGCCATATCGGCTACTAACAGCATACAAATTGGTGACCTGAAAATTGAGCACAGATTAAAAATGTGTCGCAACTATCAGGGCTACAATTTAGACTGACTTCTGAATCAAACACATTAAACAGGCAACTGTTGGTTATATAGGTATATCTTCTAGAACAAAGTTCGTGTTTTTTTTATTAAATAATGGATCAATTAAAACAGTTATTTTCTATTTTGCATTGTTTAATATCCAAAACTAATGCAGATGGCTGTGATTCAGGAAGCTACAAATTAAGTACAAAGAATATCTGGAGCATTACAGAAAAACCAATACAGAAATGTTTCAACTCACTCTATAACCAACAGTGAAAATAATCTTTGTGCTCAACAATTCCAATCAATTTGATTGCATTATATCCAGCTGCTTTTACATGAGGGATGACCTGGAATGCCGTGAAACAAACATGAAGTACCATACAGCAATTTGGTTATAAATGCAAACAATGTAACAACCAGCCAGCCACCTTCTCAGTAAAATCACTGAAAGAAGATATCTTTGGTTCACTTCCACTAATCCCAACATGGCATTCATATATACGCAATGACTTCTGAACTTTTGGTGGGGTGTTTTTCCATTTGTATGCAAACTCAGGTGGTGGTTCCCAGTGTATTGCATAGGCTTGCTTTCCATTATCATCTGTGTCAGTAACATTGTTCAGATCAAATAAGTAAAATGTTACATGGAAAGCAATTTAAAGTTGCTGCAGCATTTTTCCACTTTTTAACACCATTAATTCTTAAGGAAAATTCTCTACTCACGTATGTAGAAAAGCAGATCATGGGACTAATGAAAAGGAGAATCAAAAGCTTAAGATGGCGACTTATTTGGTTTTGACAAAACAATTTTTGATTGCTCCACTTCTTTATTTTCAAACTAATATCTTTTTATCAATAACTTAACTGAAGCGATTCCTTAGCTATCAGATGCTCAGGATAAGTACCAGGCTGCACATATGTAGCCCAAGGTGGAACTCGCTCTAGTGGTCCATCAGGAGTGTTGAAATAGACTCTATACTTGCTTCCGTGAGGAATACCTGGAAAATATTTTTTCAACCATGCCTGTCTTCCTTTTCGTGTCTCTAGCCAGTATGGCAAGGGAGGCTTCTTTGCACGAAATTTCTCTTTCCAAGCAGGATCGCTTACAATATTAAAAATGTCATATTCTTTTCCATTATCAATGACATCAAATGGAGGCAAGTTACTTGGTGGATCATCTTTATGTTGCTCTTTCCATGCTTTATATCTTGTTTCAGCATCTGGTATGTCTCCCAACTCCTCGATCGTTTGAGGGCCATTAGGGCCAAATAATTGCTCATACAACTTTGCTGGCACTTCAAGATTGTTTTTTACAAACCGGTCTTCTCCAGGTTCCCAGTATTCATCACTTGCTTTCTGGAAGACCTCCCCAATTGTAATACCACTGTCACCTTTATCATAGTCATCTACATAGTTATACTGTTGAAAATAGAGTTCATCTGGCTCTTGCCCTTCTCTTAATTTATCCTCCAGAATGATAAACCAGTATCCATAATCATCACGGCCAAAATGACCCTCTCTTGCAGCATTCTCCGCTGGCGACCACCCATTGAAGTCACCAACTAGTGCACAATACCGAGCACCTGCGCTCAACATGCTTAGTTTTCACATATGACTCGAATGATGCACCATGAGATCAGAAAAAGATGGAAGACGGCTTTCTCAAATATTCAGCAACTAGTTGCAAAAAGTTCCAAGAGGTAATAATTGTTGAAGTTAAAATTTTCATAGAAGGTTAAACAAATAAATAACTTAAATATGTAAAACTTACAAATTGTCTATGAAATTCCATCATAAGGGAAATGTGAGTCAAACCTGGAGCCCATTCCATAAAATCTACTCGATGTTCCATGTGCCGATGCATACCCAATATCTCAAATCTAGGCAAAATTACCAATATACACATAAGAACCGAGCCATGCGAAAAATATTTTGGACATTAATCATCCTAGCATTTCCTTGAAAAGAGAAGCGATGAATCAATCCAATTACTAAACCAAAACTACGAGATCAAATAAAATGCCAATAGGATTTAACCAACCCTGAGGCAAAATCTCTGAGATTGAAGTGACGTTTAAAAATTTCATCTTTAAGGTCCTTCAAGGCCTTGTGCCTGCAAAATTGATATAAGAAAGAATACGTGGCTTTGAGCAAAGTACAAAGACAAAGAATAATCCAGAAAGCAGAGATAAAGAGAGGAAACCCCCTGCCTTCTTCAATATGCTGATGATTACATACACAAACACATATGCGCAAACATAAATGCATATTTACATATATGTGTGTGTGTGTGTGTGTGTGTGTATCTCGATTCCTATAAAGGAAAACAAAAGTAAGGCAATGGTTGGAAGTACAAATATTCTAGCTCCTATAACATGAATAACAACTCAAAAAATCACGCTTTGTCCTTTCTGCTTTATTTCTCTCAGCAACCAAACGTGCCATCCCCGTATTCCAGTTCCCCAAGAAATAGCAGCAGCTATTATCAGCATTATTAGCTTCCCTCCTCGCTTTTCCTAATAAACTGTGTTTTGGGTAAAATCTTTTACCTTTCACGGAGAAACTGAGAAAATAATTTATGGGCAATTCCCTGTCTGGTGAGGAACCCAACTGGGTCAATTCCCTTTTCACCACCACTCGCGCTTTTCTTCTTCTTTGTGCGTTGTTGTTGTTGAGGCTGGTCAGCTGCTGAGCATCTGATCTTTACATGGATTTTCTTCGAAAAACTGATTCTCTGAGACCTTCTTCGGCACTGAAAACGAAAATGAAGGTCGTTTGGGTTAAGAGAAATTTTGGTTTGGAGAGAAAGTGAATTCATTCTTCTTGTGAGCCAGTTTTGCAGAGAGAAAGTAAGTGAGACGTTGAGGTTTTTAGATAAGAGGCGGGGGATTTGCTTGCTCAGAGGGAGAGAGGTTTTTGAGTCGACACGGCAGCGAGAAAGACGCCGAGGAAGTGAGTTCGACTCGCTATAATTTAATTATTCGAATTATTTTACTCCAAAGTGTACTCCTTGGATATGAAAACATTTTACAAAAGGGAAAATTTTATATACTCCGTTAAGTAAAAGATAATAATAAAATATTTTTCTATTTTATTTTATTATAAAAATTGTCATCTGGGTTATTAATCTGATTAAAAAATTTAATAACTTTATAATCATTTAAAATTATTATTATATTATTTTATTGTAAATTAATTACCAGATAACTGTATGCAGTCACAATTTTGACCTTAATTACCATAGTTTATATTATTTTCGGTGAACTCAATATAACAAGGATTATTAGGAAAAAAAAAATGAAAAACTATAATAACTAAATAATAATTTTTTGATTGTTAAATGTAAATATATAAAAATAATAATAATTTCAAAAAATTATTGTTTACAACTCAAAACTTACCATTAAAAAAAAGAGTTTCAATTAATTATTTATATATATTATATTGTTATATAGTATGAACAAGCATAAGTATGAATATAAAAATGGTGGTGAAAAATGCATACACACTAATCAATTACACAAGAATATGTATACATCAAACAGCAGCAGGAAGGCTTTGAAGGCGTTACTGAGTTTGCTTCTTGGGATATTCCCTTGGTCCAAAAATGGTTGAACCAATTCTCACATTGGTGCTGCCCATTTCGATCTGCAAAAACCATTATCTTAAACTTCTAACTCTGTTAACACCGCATATATAATGCGTTGAATATCTATGATCTTTATGCTATATAATGACATACTTGTAGCATATTTATGTATTTATTTTCAAATAAAAAAGTATATACTTGTAGCATACTTATATAAAAAATTTATGTGCATATACGGATATTAATATTAAGAATAGATTAAGTGCTGTATATATTAAACTCCATATTAAGATGATCCTTACTGCTTGCTCAAAGTCGCCTGACATGCCCATCGACAGTTCGCATTGATCCACAGCCATTCCGAGTGCCTTGCAAACCTCAGCTCTACAGTTTGACAACGTCTGTTGCATCACAATTCGTAAAGTAATTCTACAGAAACTTAGCTATCAGCGAAAGAGGGCAAAAAGAGGAAGAAGCAGAAAGGGAGAATAGTTCCGAGAACGATTACTAAAGCATCCACGATTAAATATCAACTGTGAACTCTAATGCTATTATACATGGGATCATTGGAAAGACAAATAATTAATAATGAAAATAAAAATCAATGTTTATAATGATTATGGACATGCATTGAAAACTGTATAATGATTATGGACCTAGATAACATGTTGCAAAACAGAATGTTTTGAAAAATAAGTTATAAGCACACCCTGAAGTTTTCTGGAGTTGATGAGTAATCAGGCATCCCTATTGTCATTAAGCCTGAAAAATCCAAATTCGGACACTGGAGTTTGACATATTTTGCAAGCTCTACACAGTCAGAAGGATCCACACCAGATTTAGCTGCAGCCACGTCAAAATATCAGTCAATTTATTAAGCCAAACAAGTAGGTAAGGTCGTGGTAGAAAATGATTAACGGCTACATGTTAGAACGAGAAGCCAATGTTGTATCAAGATTATGCAATTCTTTTACTATGATTAACATAGAGTATTCTGTCACATGAGTGGGCAACAGACTCAGAATTCAATTAGCTGGCCAAAGGGGAACGATGGTGGAGGGAGGGGCCAGAATATGGAGATAAGATATCATACATCAGTTAATACAATTAATGATATAAAGGAATTAGGCTTAGTTTATAGGATCATACGACAGATTCTTAAGGAAAACAACACTCAAAACATAACTACAATATATCTGAAAAAAAGATACTTAAATTACGTCAAGAATAAGAGATTTCAGGAAAGAAAAAGCATAAATTGCATCCATGGACCTAGTGATAGCAATTCAAAAGTAATGAACAAAAACTTATTTTGGTAAACAAAAGACGGTAAAATCATGCTTCAGGCAATTCCAATGATGTTGATCTCATGGTAAAATCATGCTTGATAAATTTGCAGTAAAATTGTATGTGTATTTTTTATTTTTACTCACATGCTTCTCCACTGGTATTTACTTGGACCAGAACCTTTAATGGTTTCCTTCCAAGGTTTGAAACTGCTCGATCAAGATGAGTTGCAACCTACGGATTAAGCAGAGCAATATTTTGTCATTTTCGTCATAGCAAGCATCGTCTTTCAGGATTTGTTACAATGTTATCTGATATCAATCGTGGCCATATCAAAGCTTAAGCAGGTCAATATCTTGAACAAACAAAATCGATCTTGTACATTAACTGAGTAAGTATTATTTGTGCTCAACTGATAGCATGCAAGTAGAGTTCCCCTTAAAGTTTTAGCAATAACTTCTAAAGGTTCAAAAAATTCTACTTCCTATACATAAAACCTCAAAAAATTTTAATTTCTATACATAAAACTGATGTCAAAAAAGGTTTTACCTTCGCATTGTCTACACCTTCAACCATGGCCAGGTTTGGGACTCCGGCTGCATACAAGAGTAAAGACTTCCACATTCATATAATTCTGTCTCATATCGAAAAGCAGAAATCCATGGAAAAATAATGTGCTTCATTTGCATGATCATCATATATGGACTTCTGGAATCCAGCTACACACCAACACACCTATCTCTCAAGAAGCAACCACATAATGACCAATTGACGAAAATATTATCCAATCCCAGAATCATTCTCTTGAGTAAATAGTTTTATATTTAATACTCATGGGCGTTGATGACATTTTTGAAGGGGAAAAAAGGGAGTAAATCATATTAACTCCGGAATTTGAATTTAACTAGACGAAATTCCATGCAGAGTTTTCAAGAGAATGGTCGAACCCAGTAAAACAAGCATTAATATTGGATCGGCCAAATTCTGATATTTTCAGCTGAAAAAAGCTCTTTGATTTCGAGTTCCAAGATGATTTACAGAGAAAAAATGAGCGTATCCTCCATTATGTACAAGAAATGAATATACAGCAATCAATCATATAATTCAGGGATTTTAATAAGCACCCAGCCAAGAAAAGAAAGAAGAACAAAGAAAAGGCTAGAAAATTTAACCAGAGAACCATATCTAATATTACAAAAACGACATACTCAAAAGTATTTTAGCTTTGTTGCTCTGTAAATGCCCAACATAATGCCACTCAATATCCTCAGGAAGCTGCACAAACACAAAAGTCCATAATTTGCCCAGTTAACAACACTGTATAATTCCACGTTCAACAAAAAAAACCACTGTCATTCCCTTTCTGTTTGGTTAACAAGAAAAATTTAAGAGAAAAAGAAATATAGAACTTCGGATTTGTTTGTTTGGTACCAAAAACTCAGAGCAAACATATCACGGTAATGTTTAAAAAAAAAATTAGCATTCCGTTCAATATAAGAACATACATATGCATATACATAGATATGAGTTACAGAGAAATATGAACCTGTGGAGCTTTATCCACAATTTCTTGAACATAATTTTCACCAAAGCGACGGTGACCGGCGTCGTAGATTTGGCGGATAAGAGAGACGGGTTTGGTTTTAGATACAGCGACGACCCGGACCCGCTCAGGTTGGGTACCGGCGCGCTGCGCGGCTTGCCGGACTCGGAGCAAGACAGAACGAAGTGCGGCGGCTCCAACTGCGACTCCCTCTACCGCCGGCGCTGCCATCGTCGTCCTTCGATTCTCGTTGGATTTTCCGGTGTTCGAAGGGGTAAATTGGGAAAATAAACAAAATGTCAGTGCCAGAATTATTTATTTTGAATTTTTATGAACCAACGATTTTCTTGTTAATTAAAATTTTTTAAAAAAATATTAATTTG